AAAAAAAAAAAGTGAAACAAAACCAAGCTAATAATCTGAATCGCTTTTATCTCATTAAAATAACCTTTAATTATTAGGAAACGTCAAAATGCTCCATCTTTCTTCCACCTCTCCACTGACCAAGCACAGAGGAATTGCAGGACAGATTCAATCATTTTTTTTAAGGTAGACAAGAAAATAAGGAATGGAAATTAGTATAGAATTTCATATCTGACTCTTTCCTGACTTTTTTTTTGAACAGTGGCCCGGCAGAGTCTCACACAGATAGACTTCTCTGGGCTTGTTTTGGGCTTTTTTTAGTCCCTCAGATGTGCCAGATTCTTTGGCTTGCTGTTGGCCGCTCTTCTTTCTTGAGACTGATTTTCCCCTTTCTCCTACCCAAATCTCACTTCTTTTGGCCGACTCCTGCCTGTTGGGCAGCTGTGAGTTGAAACATCAACTTCCACAGGAAGGCTTTCCTCAGTGAACCCTCCCCGCCTTACTACCCCAGATTACTGGGCCCCTTACTCTGGTGCCACAGCACATAGTTGGTATTTCCATTTGCAGTATCGACTCTTAGAAGTACTTAATGTAGCATTTTGGCAAGAGATTCCTTTACTCATTCTGTTGTTTGATTGGGCAGACTTCAACTGCAAAATGAAACAATTAAGCATGGTGGTGACAGTCTTATGTCTATACTAACTAATACAAATGGTGAATTGAGACTATTTGGGATACTGAGTGGAAAGGTAGAATATAATACAGATCTTGGAAAATGTTATAAACGTACTAGTTGCTATCCAGATGTCTCTCACACAAGACGAGTGAGTATATTTGTTTTGTTAGCTATCACCTGGCTTGAAGGGAATGATCTGTAGTAATTCTGGAGGATGTTAATTAGGGTACAGAGAGGTCTGTATGAGAAACAGCACAGATCCTATTAAAAAAAATGCCATCATTCTTTATCCTTATATCCTGCTTTGGTTTTTTCTGTAGCATTTTTTGACCACTTAACATTTTTATATTTATTCATTTGTTTATTGTTTTTCTTCTCTACTCTTCAGTCCCCCTCCCTTGGTTTAAGCACTGTAAGAGCAGGGACTTTGTTTTATTCACTTTTGCATAAACCAGCCCTTTTGGGCTTTTTTTAGTCCCTCAGATGTGCCAGATTCTTTGGCCTGCTGTTGGCCGCTCTCTTTCTTTAGACTGAAGAACAGTGTTAGGTATGGGTATTTGTTGAATGAATATAAATGTTTGCTAAATAAATGAATAGCGGTTGCCGATATGAGGTAAGATGTTCCTCAGATATAAGACTGTCAAAAATTATGAATAAATACTGATAGCCACTGAGATCTTTATGCATGGTATGCCTTTACATGTAATTTAATCTTTAAAACAGTCTTTTGGGGTAAATAAGTAGTAATAACATTCTTTTTTCCCCCAATAAATTTGAGTGCATGTCTTTCGGAATACAAAATGAATAAGGGACAGTCCCTCTTCTTCAGAGGATAAAATTTATAAAGGGAAACAGATAATTTTAATATAGTGTGGTTAATTCAGGTAAAAGAATGTACACAAGAGTGCTAAAGGAGTGGAGAGGAGGATGCCTCTCCCAGTGGAGGGAGAGAAGACAAGGAGAACTAAGGCTAGAAAAAGTATCTCATTTGCCCAGAGTCATGTAAGTGGTACAGCCAGGATTTGAACCTAGATCCTAGACTTTAAAACAAAGGCATAGACTGACTGTAGCTGCCAACAAGTATTTTGGAGTGAGTATTTCATGGGCTACCAGGTAGCTCTGCTTTAGTTTTCTACCAGATTTTAGTTTTATTCAAAAGGTTTAAAACTTTTTAAATAAGGATATCTAGAATAGCTGAGTGACCTGATGAAAAGCACAGCTGAAATCCTGTTTTAATCCTAATCTGGAGTGGATCTTGGGTGAGAGTCTGGCTGCTATTTACACCGGAGACCAGGAGGATCCCTGGATTCTTACCTTCTCCAATGTCCTGTTAATTCCCCCCCACCCCGCCCCCACTGCCCCAACTGCATTTTCTGTTCAGCTCAGTCTTCCTCTTACCCAGTCTTTTGCAATACTCCCCTCTGTTTTCTGTTCCCCTTGCTCCAGACATTTTCTCCTCCTGCCTTCTGTGACACTTCACTTTGTTTTCCTTCTACCCTTCTTCTTTTGGGTATCCTTTGATTGTCTCTGTTTCTCATTCAAGGGCTCTCGTGTCAGCTTGATCTCCAGTCTCCCTTTAGGTGATCACATCTCATCCTCAGACTTCAAAAGCCTTTCTGTGCCTGTGGTGGCAAAATCTGTATCTTCAGCCCTGACCTCTCTCTCCTGAGCACCAGCTGCCTACTTGCCACCTCCATGTGGTGTGGGCTGGAAGCCTCGTGCTTGCCCCTCAGCATCCACTGTGCACCTTTGTCTACTCTGGTGAGAAATGTGTGTGCTACGTTGAGTGCCAGGCTCCATTTGAGCTCAGACAGCAGGAGGCACATACAGGAGATCCCAGAGCAGGAGGGTGAGGGCAGAGTATCTATTCCAAAGCCCCCTTTCTGTGGGGTCCTCTGGGTTTATAACTTCAAATCAAAGTTCTCAGCTCTTGGCAGTAGGCCTTTCCCAAACAGCTCTTCTAACCTTAGGTTCTGGGAAGTGCTCCCTCCAGCCCCGCCCGGAGGCCCTGGTTGTGGAGCCTATCCCAGGTGCTACACTCTCCTGTGGTTTCCCTACATTCTGCCCATACTCCTACAAATAGTACCTTTGGTAAACTTTCCTCAAGTCATGCTAATTTGAATATGCCAACTATTTTCTGCTTTGATCTTAATTCACATATTAATAGCTAAAGGAACCTCAAATTTAAGCAAATCCAAGTTAAATTTTTGATTTCCTCCCTTTTTCTCCACCCCCAAGTCTGTTCCTTCCCCAGTATTGTTCATCTCAGTAAATATACTACCATTAACCTGGTTGCTCAAGCTAAGACCCTAGGGCATGTACATGATTCTTCTTTCTTTCATTTCCCAAAAACAACCAGTCAGTAATTCTTACTGATTCTGTCTCAGATCTGGCCACTTTTCAGCTCCTCCACTGCCCCCACCCTGGTTCAAACCACCGTCATCTCTCACCTAGGATTGCCCATTGGTCTCCCTGCTTCGCTGCTCCCTTACAATCTGTTCTCCACGTGGAAGCTGGAATAATCCTTTAAAAATGTACCTCAGATCCATTTTTTAAAAATGTATTTGTATTTTAAAACCCTCCAGTAGCTTCTTGTATCACTTAAATTTAAATCCAAATCCCTTCCTATGACCTACATGGTCCTGCATGGATGGAGTGTTACTGCTTCCACGGCTCATCTTGTTTTTCTGAAACATTCTTCCCTTGGATGTTATCATGGCTGGTTTCCTTTCTGTCTTTCCATGGCCATCCCAATGTCCTAATGTCTCTTTCTTACAGAGACTTTCTCTAACCACCCAATCTAAATTAGCCCTCACCCTCACTCTGTCATGTTGCTCTGTTTTGTTTAAATTGTTTATGCTCATCCCTGTCTGAAAAAATCTTGTTTATTTGTATGTCTGTGTATTGGTCTCCACCAACTGCAGCATAAGCAGAGACTGCGTCAACTTGTTCACATCACCCTGATGACCTAGAACAGTGCTGGTAGATAGTAGATGCTCAGAAAATATTTGTTGAATGAATAAATGAACAAATCTCTGATGCTCCAAAAATGTTAGGCTAATTCAGGCCCTGTTGGCTATAAAGATATCAAGAGCTCAATTTGAGCTAATAATGGTAGGAAAGTAGAAAAGGAAGGATGAGAAGCAGTGAGTTTCATATGGTAGAAAGAGCCCTGATTCCAGCTCTGTCTCTCTTCCTGTCAGTTATTTGGTTGTGGGAAAATTCTTACTCTCTCTGTTCTCTCAGCTGCAATAGAAGCAGGTGGCAGTTGATTTCTTTTT